TGAGGAAACGCATCTTTTTCACCATGGTGAGACATCATATCGAAATTGAGAAGTGTGCGATCCCATTGACCATGCATAAACTCTTAGTGGGTGATCTTGGCCCGACCTGTGCGTCCGACGGTGTGCAATGAAAACCCGACTTCAATGTATAGTGGATTGAGAGGACCAATGGCACAGACCCCAAGAGGTGGTTTAGATGAACCCCCATGTAAAGGACATCTTGAGGTCTGTGCCATCTACTCTGAAACCACTGTATTTGGCTGGTCACTTTCCGGAATTCTCCTGCAGAAGTGCTGAATCATGAGGAGGACCTCGTGGAGAAAGTCAAGTCCTGCCAGGCTGCTCCGCCTGCTTTGGATGCATGGCTTGCAAGTGGATCCTCCAAACCTCGCTTCAGTTTCTCCCAGAATCTGAGACATGGAGTTTGGGTTGGTCAACTCATACTATAGACTATGGACATGCCTTGACAGAAAACTAGCTGCAATATGCTGTAATTACATGTAATTACCATTGATATTTCAGCATATTTCAGCTGCATTTTGACTCTCGGCCTCTGAGCTGTTTTTCAATGGACATTTCTTGATGCATATACTGTAGCTGGTTTCTTGGAAAGCTGAAAGCACTTCAGTCTGATGTGTTTTTTTTTCGCAGATCCTGAGGAAGACAACGACATCGCAGAAGCTTCAAGCTCAATGACATGGGCACCCACCAAGTCTGTCGCTTGATCGCAGATATTGTACGCTCTTGTTGCCCCTGAAATCTAAGAAGTCGCACTTTTTGCCGTGCAGTCTTCACAGAATCCATTCTCCCCAGCAGCAGGGTGCTTGGGGGATTGAGCAGTTAAGTTGGATCTTGCATTTGGTCTTTCTGTGGGGGAAAGGGCAGCACGAAAGCTGCAAGCTTCTCCCGAGCAAGCAGAAGCAGCTGCCCAGCGCTGGGGCACATAGCCGGTCAAGACTTGGGCAAGCACGAAAGCTAGATGAAGGGACTGAGTGGTTGCTTTCCATGAAATGTTGGGCACATCATGGCAGCCTTAATCAAATAGATTTCTCAATGCTGTGAATTGGGCGACAGGGTGTTTTTCTGCCAGGAGAAGGGCGGCACGAAAGCTTCAAGCTTTTCGACAGCAAGCAAAGGCAAAACGCCTGCTGAAAAGGCCAGGGTCTTAAGACAGTTGTGGCCCTACGTGGCCATCGAACGGGAGATTTGGTCAAGATGGTTCCGTGCACGAGCTTTGCTTGTTCAATGCCTCCAAGACTAACAAGTACCTTGCTGAGAAATGCTGAGAATAGATTTCCTGCCATCCATCCCCTGATTGATTTCAGTAATGGCTTTACTCCAAGCATGGCCTTCCGGCAAGGAGGAGGGCAGCACAAGAGCTGCAAGCTCCTCGAGAGCAAGCAGAAGCAAAACACCTGTTGAAAAGGCCAGGGTCTCAAGAACGGAAGATTTGGTGAAGATAGTCCCGTGCTGGAGTCCTGGCTTGCTCCAATGTCAGTGAAAATCAACAAGTACCTAGCTTAGAATCCGCGCCACCAAAGATGCTGGGCGTAATTTGTTGGAGGGCGAACACTGAGCTCAAATGTAAATCCTGCATCATGAGGTGGGTCTGGAGGGGGAGGTGGTGTGCTATACGACCTGGGACAGGATATGAAGTGGTACGCTCACAGTAACAAAGGACAAATGAAGTTGTTGAAATATGTTTTTCATGGACCTATATAGTGATGCCAATGATGGAATAATGAATCCGTAATGAGATCAATGTACGGCGATGTACGGTATGAAACTTGACTTCTCATTTCCGGGTTATCATGCAGATTGTAGAGCCTATAGTGACTTTGCAAAGCCAAGGTCTCAAGAACGGAAGGTTTGGTCAAGATAGTTCCGTGCTCGAGCTCTGCTTGTTCAATGCCTCCAAGACTAACAAGTACCTTGCTGAGAATACGTTTCCTGCCATCCATCACCTGATTGATTTCAGTAGTGGCTTTACTCCCATGGCCTTGCGGCAAGGAGAAGGAGAAGGGCAGCATAAAAGCCGCAAGCTCCCTGAAGGCAAGCAGGAGCAAAACGCCTCTTGCAAAGGCCTGGGGCAGGGGCGAGAGATGAGTGGCATGTTGTGGCCCAATATGGCAGATTTGGTCAAGATAGTCCCGTGCTGGAGTCCTGGCTTGCTCAATGTCAGTGAAAATCAACAAGTAGCTAGCTGAGAATCCGCGCGCACCGAAGATGATGGGCGTATTTTGTTGGAGGGCGAACACTGAACTCAAATGCAAATCCTGCATCATGAGGTGGGTCTGGAGGGGGAGGTGGTGTGCCATATGACCTGGGACAGGATATGAAGTGGTACGCTCACAGTAACAAAGGACAAATGAAAGTGCTGAAATATGTTTTTCATGGACCTATATAGTGATGCCAATGATGGAATAATGAACCGGTAATGAGATCAATCCACGGTATGAAACTTGACTTCTCATTTCCAGGATATCATGCAGATTGTAGAGCCTATAGTGACTTTGCAACACCAAGGCAGCCAAGGTCTCAAGAACGCAAGGATTGGTCAAGATAGTTCCGTGCTCGAGCTCTGCTTGTTCAATGCCTCCAAGACTAACAAGTACCTTGCTGAGAATAGATGTCCTGCCATCCATCCCCTGATTGATTTCAGTAGTGGTATTACTCCAAGCATGGCCTTGCGGCAAGGAGAAGGAGAAGGGCAGCACAAAAGCCGCAAGCTCCCTGAAGGCAAGCAGGAGCAAAACGCCTCTTGCAAAGGCCTGGGGCAGGGGCGAGAGATGAGTGGCATGATGTGGCACATTGTGGCCCAATATGGCAGATTTGGTCAAGATAGTCCCGTGCTGGAGTCCTGGCTTGCTCCAATGTCAGTGAAAATCAACAAGTAGCTAGCTGAGAATCCG